TCGTTTGTGTAAACTCGGCGGGAAACGTGAAATTTTTGGCGGTATATCGAAAATATTTACAAACAAAATGTCGTCTAGAAAAGTGTCCAAAATAATAATTTCGATTTATTTTAATTCCTTGTAGCAAGAAGCCAAAACGCCACCGTTTTTGTCATCCTATACCGACGACTTGTCGTCGGTATAGGATGATTTAAAATTAATTTCGATTTAATTTAATTCCTTGTAGCAGGAAGTCAAAACGCCACCGTTTTTGTCATCCTATTGTAGCAGGAAGTCAAAACGCCACAGTTTTTGTCATCCTATACCGACGACATGTCGTCGGTATAGAGTGATTTAAAAATAATTTAGATTTATTTATTGTCCTTGTTACAGAAACTGGAAAACGATGTCGTTTCTTGTGCTATAGAGACGACATGTCGTCTGGAAAGGTGAGACCGATCCGCGTGAAATCTTTTTTTTTTTTCTTTTATTTATTAATCATGTTAGACGAAACGACGATGTATTGGGGTACCTATACAGACGACATGTCGTCTGTATAGTGTTTCCATGTAACAAAAACCCCTTTTCAACTTTCTGTTTGCAGTCGAGACCAAATCCTTTTTTCTCTCAAGGTCGTCGGCGATCGCAGGGTGTTTCCAGCTTGAGTTCATCGACCACCATAAAGGTAAGTGTTTCGGTCCTTCATTGCTTCTTAATTTGTAATAACTTGTGCTTGATTTGTAATAATTTGGACCCCTAAATCTAAGCCCGATTTATCTATTGGCCAGCAAAAGGGTCAGGTGCTCCATAGAAAAGGATTTTCAGTGATTAACCAAACTCTAACACCGATTTTGAGGTTAGTATATTGATTTCTTTTTCCTGTTAACTACCACAGTGACGTTTTTTTTCTTCAATAAACCATGATATGTATATGCATTTGTTTATGCACCATAATGCTCCATAAATCTTAAATGTCTAAATGTTAAATATGTGAAAATAGGGTATAAGGCCACATTCTGCTTTTTGCTTTCTAAGTGCATGAAATGTTATATATTGGCCACATTTTGCTTTCTATGTGCATACAATGTTATATATTTTACTTATCTACAAGTAAAAGTGATGATAGAAGGCTATAAGATCTTTACAATTTGAGTTTATGTGCAACCTTATAGAACTAGCAAACAAACTTCATGTATACATTATGTTAAGTTAGAAACATTACCTTAAAAAATATTATGTTGAGTTATTTGATGTAATTAGATGCTATTGTTTGTATTGTAAAGTGTTTCAAAGTGTTTAATTTTGTTAGTGACTTAATGTTGGTCATTATGGCTTTAGCTTAATTAGGTTATTAATAGCAACATACTTTTAGTAATTTTAAAATAATTATGAAGTAAAGGTGAATTAATTAAAATTAAATTAAATTAGTTTTAAAATCAAATTAATATTAATATTAAAATTAAATTAAATTAAATATAAAATCAAATTAATATGATTTTCTAATTAAAACACGTTGAATCATTGATTTTTAGTTTAAGTTTCTTCTTCATAACCATTATGAATACTCTATCCAATTAATCTAATTTTTACTTCTCGAGTATATATATTCTTATATACTTGTGAATACTCTATCCGTTCTCGGGTATATATTTATTTATCTAGCACAAATACAATCTAACTTTCGATAACTACATATATAATATAATTTTTAAAAGTGAAACAGCGATGACGATCGATGAGAGTTGGATTAGAGAGAACCGAATGTCTTCAAAATACTTGGAAGGTCTTAAAAACGATTGCTGAGAAACATGTCAACTCTAAAAGCAAAGTGCGTTGCCCGTGTAAAACGTGTGTAAATTCGTATCGACATGCAGGCCCGGCCCAATACATGGGCGAGTTGGGCTTGGGTCCAGGGCATCAAACTAAACTAAGGGGGGCATAAATTTAGTCCACTGAGTTATCATATATATATATATATATATATATATATATATATATATATATATATATATATATATATATATTACTTTGGCCCAAAAATTTAGCCTAAGAAGCCAAGAACGCAGTCGACTCGACGTCTTCCAAAGCGGGACTTCTTGAGCGCCAAATAATTGAAGTTGAAGAACATTGAGAATTGGAATCGCCAAATCAGGTATCGCCCCAAGAAAAACGATAGAGATTGAGAGATTGAGGAGCCCCATTAAAGTCTAAATCGCGTTGGAGAGATCGAGAATTTGTTTACCATCCTTCTACATCCAATTTTTGCTCATTATTCTCATTCTATTTCTCTTAAAACCTGCTGCTCACTTAATCGATCATCTCAAATTCTCAATAATCTCATATTATTTCGATTTCATATTTGCAAGTTGGAGTTTGATTTATGATTGTTAAATATTTTTAACCCGTTAATTGTTAACCTAAAGCAAAACCGCCAACGAAAGTAGAAAGCCAGAAAAGTCTTGTTGGATTCATTTTTATCTGATTTCACTTGAACTGATTTCGGTGAGTTTTGTACTTTTATTTTTCTTAATCTTTTTCTAATTTCTTTCTAGACCTGCTGACCTTGGTTGTGGTTTGTTTAAGGATTTTGATTTTTACATGTTTAATTTCAATTATAGTTGATATCTCGATTTCTGATTTCCTTTCAACTGATTTGGGTCTTTGGGTGAGTTTGAATTGTATTAATGTGATTATATCTTCTCTCTATGTTTGATGCCAACGGTCTGATTCCTGACTTTTGTGGTTTTTTTAGGAGTTGGGGTTGTATATGTTGGAGTTTAATTAAAGTAGAATGGACCTCAGAGTTTGATCAATTCCAAAGGTCCGATTTCTTATCTAGCTGTGCTTGAAATCTGTTGGATTATGCTTGATTTTTGAGATATGGTTAAGGTAAAACCTTAACTTTTTGAGGTTTGCTTACAATTTCTACTAATTTCGATTTTACTTTCTGTTTGAGCTTGAAATCTTCTTCCATCAATCTATCTCATATTAATATGATTTTTTTGGTTTTTTTTAGGAGGTTTTTTTTTTTTTTTTTGCATGTTGGGAGTTTGAATACAGTAAGAGAAGTGTCTTTCTCCTTTGTTTGAACTTTAATTTCACCTCTGTTTAAGCTTGAAATATTGTATCTGATATTGGTATGCTTCAGATACTACTGTGGTTTGCTTCTGCTATAAATTTCTAAAGTTCCTTTCGTAACTTTTTTGTTCTTGTTTCTTGTTTCTGTGATGTGAATCAGGAGGTTGATTGAACTTCTTATTTATGTATTTGTTTTTCTGTTTGATGCTTCCAAACTAGTTTTTTTTTTTTTTTGTTGATGATGAATTAAAAAATGTTGCATAAACCTTGTGTCTAATTTGACAAATGTTTAAGAATATGATATTGACAGAATTGATTTATATATTGAATTACAAATTTTGCAGAAAATGTTGCCATGAAACACATACAAAGGTGCAAGTCCTTTGACATCTATTCAAATAACAGAGTTTGTAAGAAGAATAGATATGTTTTCTAATATATTGATTGCATATAATATGTTTTTTATTGTACTTGTTATGGTTGTTTCTGCAGAAAGAAGTTTTTCAAATTTGAAGCTCTTGAAATCGTGTCTTCAAAATACCACGACTTATGAAAGATTGAATGGATTAGCAATTTTAAGTATCGAAAAATAATTTTTTTTTTTTTGCAAAAGATAGATTATTGTAAAATAAAAGATATTTTTGTTTCAAAAAATGCATGATGGCATTGTTTTAGGTGGTTTTTGTTTGTATTATAAGTTTAATTATAAAATTTATTGCATTTTTTATTTTTCAAATTTTTTATATGTAAAGGCATAAAATTCTTAACTCGCCCCGGGTAGTAAAAAGTAATGGACCGGCCCTATTGACATGTTTTGCCTACGGTTTATGCCCACTTACATGACATTGGGTTTCTAGAAACATATACTACATGGATTTATCACGGTGAGAAACATGTCGGTTCTTCGGATTTAAGCTACATCGGATTTAATATAATTTTATTGTTTTCTTTATCTTAAGAAAACATTCAACGAGAGAAGATGGTGATGCAATCACAACTCGGGGAGAACGAAAAGTTAAATGAAGAATAATGCCTCGCTCATGCCCTCGGTGAGAGACGTGGGCATATTCGCGGAATTAGAAGGAAACCAAGCATCAACAATAATTTATTTCCAAATGAACATACCAAGCGTTCCAAAGCTTCCACATCCCAATCTTCAGATAATCCCCAAGTTGTTGTATTATCCCAACAAATTCAATTCATGCAGCAACAAATGCAACACATGAACCAAATGTTTAATAACACTTTCGCGTCTTTCATTCCAAACTTCCAACCACAACCAATGCCACAATGCCAGTTTAATCCCAATATGGTTCCACAAAATAACCCCTAAACATCAAAATGAACTCGCGGAGGATGATGATGATGATGTTGATGATGGTGGTGATTACGATGATGATGATGATGATGATGATGAGGAGGAGGAGGAGGAGAACTAGAATGATAATGACAACAATGTTTGTTAAAAACTTGCATTTTTTGTTATTTTGGTTGATGATGTTGATGATGGTGGTGATGATGATGAGGAGGAGGAGGAAAACTAGAACGGTAATGACAACAATGTTTGTTAAAAACTTGTTTTTTTGTTATTTTGTTATGTAGTAGAATTTGAATGGTATGTTATGTTTATTAAATGTTTTTGGATTTTAATATGTTATCTTATGTTTATATTATTCTGCAAATATCCATTTTGGATTTGTTTTAAATGGTATATATAACAAAACTTGTGGAAGATATTAAACAAATAAAAATGGCTATAGAGACGACATGCCGTCGGTATAGCTTTCCAACTGTAAAAACGGTTTTCACTTTTCCAAACGAGAAGTCATCTCTATAGCTCTCACTTATTCAAACGACATGTCGTCTCTATAGTGTCACACTTTTACCGACGACAAGTCGTCTCTATAGGGTGCGAATAAAACTTTTTCTAATTTCCTCGAAAATCAATCCCGACGACCCTTTCCAGACGACAAGTCGTCTGGACTGACTATGCTATTTCGACTTTTACCGACAGACATATACGGATGACTTTTTACAGACCACATGTCGTCTGTAGAGGCTTTAGCGACGACAAGTCGTCTGGACAGAGCTCAAAATTATCGTCTGCATAGTGTAGGCTCCTTATAGAGCTATACGAATGATTTCTTGTGAAAATATGTTTGTGACAGTTATTATAAAACTTTATGAATTTGTAGGAAATTAAAAGATAAAGAACCTTATCCTTGACTTCTGACAACATGTATCCAAGTTTGCTCTTGTGGTAACAAATCATCTTCTCTGTTACCCTCCTTTTTCATCACTAACATGTTTCCATTTTTCAAAAATTCAAAATCATAGAAACCAATATTATATACAATCGTCAAGAATGAGTTATATATATATATATATATATATATATATATATATATATATATATATATATATATATCAAAAACAGACTCTTCTAGGGTCATGAAAGAGACTAAATTATTTTACATTAAATCATTAGTTACCTTTTCCATATTCACAATATACCCTCCAAGTTTCTTAAACTCGTGTCTGTACACATAAATCAATAGATCAATAGCGCTCTGATCAAGAATGATAAAAATTCAGAATTTGGACTTTCGATACACTTTTTTGGTAAACTCTAGAAAATTTTCATCTTTGTATTTATTTCCTTGAAGCAAAATAGCTAAAATGAAAAGGCATTCAAACCTCAGGAATTTCCAAGGTTGGCATAGGCGGAAGAAAATCATTTCTATAGCTTTCTACTAGAGTGTTTCGATTAAATGTGTATGAAGAAGCATGTACTGTAGGAGAAAAATGTACAAGTGTCTTGTGGTCTTTGGAATTTCTAAATCTTCTTGTTCTTTGCTGGTTCATTTTGGCTTTTGTAATGACCGAAACTCTTTCGATGTGAAGAAAATTTCTCACCTTTTTGGAGGTAGTTGAGTTGTGAAAATGACGTGCTTAGCATCATCGATTCTTTCTGTAGCAAGTTCACTGTCAATGTGAAGAAAAGAAAAAGTGAATGTGAGCACTTGATATTATAAAATCACAGATTCAAGACCTTTTCGTAAGATCCATTAAAACAAAGCAATTATAGCTAAAAAAACATTCTCAGAGTAAAATCATCGAACAGTTATGGGGCATACCTTTTCTCAGAGTAAGATCCGCAGAGGTGTTCATGGTACCGCAGAGGTGTTTATGGTTTCGCAGAGGGGCAGAACCCCTCTGCGGAACCTGTGGTCATTTTCCAAAATTCTCATTTACATAGTTATTTTCTTCAAAACCTCCCTTCCTTTTTTTGTTATTTCTTGAAATTTCTCTATCTGATATGGTTTTTACTTTATGGTCGGTTGGTTAAAGGATATTGGCTTTAGTGCCACAATAATATATTGGAATTACACAGTGTAATCTCTTTTTCATTTTTATAAGAATCACCAAAAACGAAAAGTAATTAACGCCATTGATATTAAGATTAGATGTCCAGTGTTTTCGATGAGACCTATAACCTCATGGCCCCCGGACAATGGCATCGCCTATTGTTCACATCAGGACAACATCTACATAAGCATCATGTCATAATATTAGAATATTAATGAGGGGAAAATAAGTTTTATTAGATACTAATTTGGATATTAATTTGTTAGAACTTTTAAGTCTGTATGCTACTAACATGGCATTTTTTAACCACTTACGAGGTTTTATTCTAGTTACATTTTTTTTTTAAATTTCAAAGTACTAATTGAAATTCATAAACAAAATCTTTAAATTCTTAAACCAAAAAAAATCTTTTATATAGAATTCAAAGTCTAAATTCAAAATTTACACCCGTTGCCTTCGCGGTCTCCCAGTCTATTAATTAAGGTTTTCACCACTTGGTATGTCTCTCTATTTCATGTGTGTGTTGGATTGAATGTTTTTGCTTATTTTATGTTTGGCTTTGTCAATGTGAATGTATGTTTATCTATGGACATATGTTTGTCTAGGAATGTATGTTCAAATATATATATATATATATATATATATATATATATATATATATATATATATATATATATATATACTAGGAACATGATGAGGGCGAGCGGAGTTTCATCACAGTTAAGCGAAATGGTAAACTTAAATAGTACAATGTATAAAGATAATATCTATATAAGTGTGTAGTCATTGTAAGAAGTTTAAGTTTAAGTTGAATGCTTATTCTTTTACAAATGGTAAAAGTGTAAAATATAGTGTGTTTACCGAAACTTGTACATTCCATTCCATGGTGTTAAGAGAATGTGTAATATACTTATACTCTTGTTGGAAATATGGGCAATATAGCATTGTACTTTAAAAGTACAATGGTGTACTTTAAATTGTAAGGAAAGAAAATATATAATTTAAACCCTGAATGAGCATTGATGATGGCAGAGAAACAACCGCATCGTCTGTATAAGTTCCTATACCATTACCAATTGCCAAAAGGAAACTTGAAAAAAAAGGATCCAATAGAGCTCGCATGTTTTCTGTTAGCTGCAAATGAACCACCAAAAGTAGCTGAACAGTCCATTATATCTCTAAGTAGACTATCCAAGGATTCAATTGCAGATTTCTTTGCTATTGGAGCCTCATCCCATATAATCAACTTACAAATCCTAATCAGCACTGCTAAAGAGCTTTGTTTACTAACCTTACATACAAACCCTTCAGCCGCATCCAAAGGTATTTTAAAACGCGAATGAGCTGTTCTGCCACCATGCAATAATGATGCTGCAATACCTGACGTAGCTGTAACCAAAGCAACATGACCTTCAGATCTAATTTTAGCCAATAAAGCTCTATATAAGAATGTTTTCCCAGTGCCACCTGGACCATCGATAAAGAAACAACCAGGTTTATTACAGCTAACTGCATCCATTATCATTTCAAAAGCAACCTTCTGTTCTTTATTAAGAGTATATATTACAGCCAAATCTTCAGTGGAAACAACAATATTTTTTTCTGTTTTAATCTCTCTAGTGTCGTCTTCTATCAACCAATCAAATGAATTTTGGGGTAGAACATCAAACTGATGAAGACGTCTTCCCATTGACTGCAGAAAACAATCAATCTGTTTAAATGCACGGGCATTAGATTCTTTGTGTGTCTCTTTGTGGTGGCGTAAAATGTCTTCCATCATTGCATCTTCAAATAACAACCACAACTTGCGCGGACTATTTGGACAGGTAAAAACTAAAAGTGAAGCAAAAAGCCTTCTCAACTCATATGGCATATGAAAAGTACAAGCTTCTTGCATACATACTTGTTGAGTAACATCATCAAGTAAATAACCACGTAACAAAGTAGCTTCTCTAAAGGTAGCAACAGTTACCCCGTTAATCATTTTTAAATCAGCAAACGATTTAGGACAGCGAACTCTAGACAAAAGAATTCTAAGATAATACCTTTCGCCTTAAGTTGGATGGGTAATCACAATACGACCAATTGAGTCGCCTATTTTCCGGGGTGACCACATCTTTTTATCCCCCTTCCAAACAAAACGATCAAGAAACTGATTGTATGTGAGCTTAAGCTTTTTTGCTAAAACTCCAATATCATTTTCAACAAAAACCTCAGTCAACATAGTTTTTCTTTGACCAGAGTTACTCAGAATATTAACCAATGTTGATTTACGTTTGAATGTCAAAGGCTGATAGTTTTCTAAATGCAAGGGCAAATGAATAACAAATGGTTTCATTTCACCCAAAGGAAATTTAAAAATTCTCCATGCACCTTCAGGAGGAGAAACCCATCGACCTGATTGATACTCGTCAATCTCATTTATAAGGACAGGGTTTGTAATTGGAGAAATATTAAAGCTTCTCTTGTCAGAACCTTTACAAATATACTTATATATATACTTCACAGTCTTTATTGATGAACAAATTTCTATATTAATGTGACAGTTAAATTTACAAAGCAAATAGGCATTATATGGAACGACCCATTTATTATTAAGAATAGCACCTCTGACTTTCACTTCAGACCCATCGTTACATCTACGATATATAGGATATGCATCGTCTGTCTGAATAGTCTGAGAAGAAAAGTCTTTTGGGTAAAGATTTTTACAAGAACCCTTCTTTTTCATATATACGTTAAAAGGATTTAAAGAGCCACATGGACCATGAATCATATATTGCACAACCATCCTAAACAAATGAGGATTTGCACTTTGTGATGGTATTTCTGCAGAAACAATTTTGTCAAAGTCTTCAGGTGTATGATTTTACAGTTGCGTTCTAATATAAGCAAAAAATGTGCATGTGGAAGTCCTCTTTTTTGGAATTCTATAACGTAAGTGTGAGCACAAATTTCTCCAAAAATGTTATTCTTGAAAAGTTCATGTTTAAGTTTGTCACACCCCCGAACCACACGGCGGAAACGTCCGGGGGCTGTTGTGACTCAATTGAATACCACTACAATGAATATACATGAAACATAACATCATACATCACCAAGCATTGGAATAATACAACTAGTAGCGTTTACATCCATTACATTGTCTCAAAATATTACATCCCCAAAATAAATTGTTCATTGTTACTTAAACAACCGCAAAACAATCATAGAGTACAGTCCTTTCTTCACTTATCTGTTACCTGAGAATACAAGTATTTTGGAAAAACGTCAACATATGAAATGTTGGTGAGTTCATAAGTAATGTTTAAAATCCAATGTTTGTATTGTTTCGAAAACCACCAGAAAATCCGATATTTTCTAAAAATAGTATAGCGTAAAAAAAAAGTGTGAAGATCCGTGAGTATGCTTGTTTGTTTTCTATAGATATAAGCGTATGAGTTGTAAAAATTCGGCATGTAATTCGTAAGTGTATTAGTTGAAAACCCTAGGAAAACCCGACGTTTTCCTATCACTTTGCTTTAATTAGTTTATGTGTTGTTGTTTCGTTACATTAGAGGTATTCGTTGAGCTCCGGAGGCATTGAGTATACAGTGGGTGGTGAATTGTTGTAACGTCCATTAATGAAAACGTCCAGTCGACAACCGTACTAGCGATCCCTTAGGCATCACTCGCACTTATTCACACAACTCAATCCTCCCGAACTTGTGTAGTCCCACGACCGAAGAGAAAAAGAGAAGGTGCGAAACCCTCGGTATTTCCCTACGTCGTTCAAGACCATTGCAATTGCGAAGGGCCTGAAGCCCAACCCGCAATCGTGAGTTCCCGAATTTACTAGCAGCACCGAAGGACCCTTGGGGACCAGCAGCACGTTTGCCATTGAAAGTCCTTTTACACGCGGTTAAGTCGTATTAGACCCAACTACATGTAAGCAAGTATCCTTTGGGCCTAAAGATCATGTCATCGGGCTAGCTAGGCTCAACAAGCATGATTTGCAACTTTTGGGCCTAAGGAATGTACGTCGACGTATTGAGTAATTCCACGAGAGTATAGAGTTCCGAGAGTTCCATATGTGTATTGAGCGTTGTAGTGTTAGTAGTTTTGGATTTGTTATTGATTCGAGACCGAATCAATTCGTTTAACAACGATTTTTGGTATTGTTGTGTATTGTGTCGGTAGTCGCGGAGCCAATATTCGATCAAGTTGCGTGTATTGAATTAGCCTTGAAAGTTTTCTGTTTTCAGCCCCTCATTGTTTGTAAAATTTACTTTTTCAACCTCTAATTAAATAACTTTCCGGTTTGGTCCTTAAATCATTTTTCTTGACATTTTAACACCAAAAATTATTGAAATTAATATTTTTCAGCATATTTTTCATTGAAAACAGTTTAAGTCCCTGAAATTGCAGTTTTCTCGGTTATAACCCCTCTTTTTCGCCGTTTTTACAATTTTGGCCCCAATTGGAAAATTTTTGCAACTTTGGTCCTTTTTAAATTTGAAAAGCATTTTAAACCTTTGAAAAGTACTTGTAACACTAGTAGTCCACTGTTTTACAGAAAAACACAGTTTTGGCCCTCCAAAACAGAAAATTTCGCATAATGGGCCCTATTGGGCCGAAATTGTCATTTTTAGCCCATTAAGCTTGAAATTTATGTTTTTAATCCTCCAAAAGAGTATATTTTCAGAAAATACATTATGGAAACTGTTTTGACTCATCTCACCCATCAGATTTCGAAATATTTCATTTTGGGCCCTTCAACTTTGTATTTTTAACATTTATGTCAAAAAAAATGAGTTTTTAGCCCAAAGTATGTATTGTTAAGCCACTTAGCTATTTTTCTTGGTATACTTTGTATGTAGTAGTATGTTTATGTTAGTATCATTTAACATAAAGTATATCTCGGTTTTTAGTGATTTATGACTAGATCCAACATCATAATCATACCAAACACACATATAAGCATAGAAATCATACAAAGCATACACATAATGATAGATCTACACCTTTGCTTGTATTCTCCCCCACAAAAACTTATAAAAACCGAAAATAAGGGGTATGAAGCTCACCTTTTTTTGAAGGTTTCGGTTTTTGATGAAGATGTGAAGAGGTTTTTGGCCCTAGCAAGCTTCTTGAGGAGCTTTACAACTTAGATGGCTCTAAGATGTATGATTCACGAAATGGAAAGGTTAAGAGGAGATTTTGAAGAAATCAAGAAGCTAAACCATGGATATAAGTAAAAACTTACCTAGGATGATGATTTTTGGTGAAGAGTCCTCTTGAAAGCACACACCAACTCGAGATTTTTGATGGAAGAGGGAAGAGGTTTTTGAGAGTGTTTAAGAGAGTTTTTGAAAGAAAAATGAAGTTGGTGAGAGGGTTGGCCGAGAATATGGAGAGAAGGGAGAGAGAGATCATAACCTTGTTATTTGTGAGGTAATAGTTAGTCTTGAAACATGAGATGCTACCATAGATATATGGTGGTTAAACATGAGTTGTCACATGCATGTTTGGTCTTCATTCATCCATTCTTTTTTTTTTTTTTTATAAAGATGGGTTGATTTGGGCTTAAGAGAAAGGAAAGAAATCATCTTGGGCCCATACTCGAATTTAGGAAGCCCAAAAATAAATTTTCGGCCCATTGGGGCAAATGAAATCTTTTATGGCCCAACAAGGCTCATTAGAGGTAAGATGGATTATTTTAGGCCCACATGGCCCAAAATGCTAAGGTTTTATGAATGTGGTCTATTTAGAGCCCAATTAGGGTTTCTAGGCCCAAGATAGTCAACTTGAAGGTTTATTGGTCCATTAGGCCCAATAAGAGAATCTTAGGCCATAGTGAACTTGAAATGGGATATCTAGGGTTTCCAACCCTTATTTGAGCATATGAGATATATTTGAATAGGAATGGAGCATAGTATTCACTTAGAGTACAAGTTATCACACTAGGTGAATGATTGCATGAGAGTAGAATTTCCTAGCAAAAATGCCAGTTGTGACATCATCCCCCCGTTAGTGGGAATTTCGTCCCGAAATTCTTTTGAAAGATAGGTTCATGAATGAGAGGATAGGTACTTTATCTGGTCTTTGCACTTCCCATGTGAATTCCGGTCCATGCTTTGTGTTCCATCGAACCTTCACAATCGAAATGTGGCTTTGTTTTGTATGCTCTACTTCCCTATCTACAACACCTTGACTGGTTCTTTGATGAACATGAGATTCTTGTTTATTTCGATCCCTTATAAAGGAATGATAAGAGTTTTTCCTGATAGGCACTTTTTCAGATTCGAGACGCTGAACACAGGGTGTACGTTGCTGAGCTCTACTGGTAGCTGCAGCCTATAAGTCTTTGGACCAATCCGAGCAAGGTTCTCGAACTGTCCGATGTATCGCGGGTCTAGTTTTATCGTTTCCTAAAGCGAATCATTCCTTTCCAAGGAGATTCCTTTAATAATACGTGATCCCCGACTTGACATCCTAATGGATTACGCTGCTTGTCAGAATAGCTCTTCGGTCGGTCCCGCGATGCTTGAAGTGAAGCTTCGATTTGGATTAACTTCTCTGTTGCTTCGTAATTGGTTTCTGGTCTCATGAGAGTACTGGCAAGTGATATGTATTTATGACTATAGAGAGTTTCGAAACGAACAATCTTGATGCTCGTGCGATAATTGTTATTGTATGAGGATTCAGCCAAGGGAAACTGGGTATTCCCTGACTTGTTGAATTCAAACACCCAGACTGATAGCATGACTTCAAGTGGTTGAATGGTTCGTTTTCCTTGGCTATTGGTTTGAAGGTGGTAAGAAACGCTCATATCTAGCTATGTTCCCATAGCCCTCGGAAGTGACTGTGAAAGTCTTGAAGTAATCCCGTTATCTCGATCCGAGATAGTAGATACCGATATCTCATGGAGTCTCACGACCTCCTTGATATGGATGCATGTAAACCTTTCTGTCTTGTTTGATTTTAGTATTAGCAGGAAATAGG